CCCCAAAACCCCAAAACCCCAAAACCCCAAAACCCCACGGACATTCACCAATATTGAATGCTGCTATTTATGGAAAATTTGCGAAGAATTATTAAAATAATTAATTTCACTAAAGAAATGGAAAATTTCAAAGTACTAAAAACACTTGGTAAGTGAACATCATTTTTGAGATTATCTAACTTATTTTTATAGGATCTGGATCCTTTGGAACCGTACAGAAAGTACAGAGGATTGAAGATGACCAAGTTTATGCTTTAAAGAGTAAGTATCGGACATCCGAAATTTTGAATTCTCAGCAATTTCTAATTTTATGTAGAAGTCAAAATCAATGGTATGGATGCTAAAGACCGCAAGAATGCACTGAATGAGGTGAGGATCCTTGCCTCACTAGATCACCCACAAATAATCGGATACAAGGATGCTTTCTTTGACGAGTCAAGTAAATCACTCTGCATGATAATGGAATATGCTGAAGGAGGAGACCTTCAGAAGGTTATTGACGATAACAAGAAGAGTTATAAGAACATTCCTGAATCACAAATCTGGAAATATTGCATACAAATGATAAACGGAATTAAATACTTGCATGACAATAAAATTGTTCATAGGGACTTAAAGGTACATTCATAATTTCTTTTCTGACCTAATTTTCTTCATTTAATTTTTTACTGAAATCAGACTTAACAGATAATATAGTGAGCCAATATTTTCTTGTCCAAAGATGGAGATGTTAAGGTCGGTGACCTTAATGTTTCGAAGGTGAATCGTGCTGGTTTAATGTTTACCCAAACTGGAACACCATACTACGCAAGTCCTGAAGTCTGGAAGGATAAGCCATATGATTCCAAGAGTGACATCTGGTCTCTCGGATGTGTTCTTTATGAATTATGCGCACTAAAGCCTCCATTCACTGCTACTGACATGAAAGGACTCTACTCTAAGGTAATTAAGGGAGACTACTCAAGAATTCCTTATATCTATTCTGACGACTTGGCAAATGTTGTTGATATGTGTCTCCAGGTTTCACCTATTAAAAGATTAGATGCTAAAAGCTTGCTACGTACCAAAGAGATAGTCATCCATTTGAGAGAGAGTGGTATTGAAGAGAAGAAGCAATCATCCACAAGCCTTCTCGATACCATCAAGCTTCCTTCTAATTTCAGTCTTATTAAGGGAAGGCTACCATCTCCTAAATACGACTCAGAGGATGAAACTATTGAACCAGTTAAGCCAAAGATCAGAAATTATTCTGCCAGAGGAAAAAGTGGATATGATCTGAACGGAAATTTGAGAAGAAGAGAGAGTAGCCTAAGTGCCCTCAAAAAGTTTCAAGCAAAGCCTTTAAGCAGCAACAGCAAGCTCAACATCAATAGGGTTGGTAAACACCAACATGGAAGACTTTTACCACCAAAGAGCAATATACCTGCTCAATATAGAAAGAATTATGATAGACCAGGCTTGCAACTACCACCAGTTCGCCAAAATGCTGCTGGGATGCCTTCTCTCTCGCGTAACAGAAATGGACCGAGAAGTATAGATAGTAGTAGGGTCTTACCTCTCAGCAAGCCATATAGCAATAGATCTATCGACTATGAAGCTGGCTATAAAAGAAGGAGAGCTGATATCGCATCAAGGCAAAGAATTCAACAACAATTAATAAGCAAGGCATTCGGTTTGCCTTCTACTCCAATTAGGAAATTAAGATAACTATTTATAGCATATATTTCAATGTAACTGTGACTTAAAGGGGTTTTGGGGTTTTGGGGTTTTGGGGTTTTGGGG